AATGCCTATGACTTTTACGACTGGGCAAACAATTACGACAGTAGAGATTGCTTTTCGATTCACTCATCTTCACTACTTCCTATTTAGTGTAGTTATGTATCAGCGACCGAAGCCTGATCAAACTAGTGAAATAAACAGCAGGGAGTTTTGGTTTCACGACTGTGAAAGTAATTAATATCTAGAGTTTCATATGGCATGGCACCCAACTCCTTCAGAAATGTACAAACTATCATTTATATACAATCGTTTTTTCATATCAGTGATTAAAAATGAAACGAATGAATCCTTTATTGCTTAAAGAAAACAATCCTTCATCAAAATCCTATAGACTTATGAATCAGTCATCACAAATTTTGTTTAGGAAATAAAGAAGCTGAACACAAAATAGTATGCGTCAGGGATAGTTTTGTCCAACACCACAAGGTGGTACAAAACCAAAATATAAACCTGAATAATTCAAGTCTTCTTTTTAAAAAACCTTGTCAGGTCTAACATGGCGGACAAGCATGGTGTCCGAATTATTCAGAAATGTCTAAATTACCATCTATATACAACCTGTATGCGGTCGTTTTCTCAGATCAATAATTAAGCATGGCTTCAAACGAATGAATCATATAAATCCGTCATCAGACCTTATCGAAAAATCACAAACGAAGTGCTTTACCAAATAAACGCCACTTTCAATAACAACAATAACAACAACAATAACAACAACAAAACATGGGTAACAAATTTAAGCAGAAGAGAAAATAATGACATAATCAAACTCTTAGCTTTCCACATAACCCAAAACAAAATGCTTGGAAGGAATCTACCATCAATATTACAAAGAACTATAACATTTATTGGACTTGAAAAGTCGAATTTCCTGAAAAATTATTTTGCTAAAAGATTTCATATATTACAATCGACAGTAGCACTACCTGTTCAATCAATGAATGTTTCCTGTATGGAAAGTGATAGAAAGTAGCAAGAATTAAGATGAAATAAATATGAGTAAAAATTGATATTTACTAATATGGTTTCCTCTACAATTAAGTTTCCACAAGACTTGCATCATTATTCTAATCACCTATTTTATTAAAAACTTAGAAAATTTTCCATCACTCCTTCATTTAGTCTGTGAGTATTCTCGAAAAAAAAAAACAAAAAAAAACGCTTCTTTAGTGAAAATTATTAAGATTCCAACCACACTTTTTATTCTACCCTCACTGTCTATTTGAAATTCAAGTGGAAAAATATTTGTTTTTTAAAATATTTGTTCTGATTTACTGAACAATCGTAGATCACTTAACAAAATTTTATCATCACGATCGGAATTTGAACTTGGTGCGCCATTTTTGTCGGCATTAATAAAAAAATTAACCATTAATAAAAATCGTAGATATTAACCAAACTTAGCTTACTTATGGTACAAGACCACAATAAAGACGTTCTTAACGTTGATCGAACTCAGTATCAATGGTTTGCGAGGGTAGCCTCTTAATCTCACTGAATACGGATTTCGTTCCGAGTTGGTTGCATGGTGGTACGGCTAAGTTTGTGATAATATCCTCTTTTCTTCAGCTAATTCTTTACGAGCTCTTTCGCGTGTGAGACAAAAATATCCGATTCAAAATCGGATCCAGACTATGGAAGAAACTCCCCCTAAAATGATTACAGAAGTCAATTCGAATTTGTTCGACTAGGCATCGTGGTGAAAAGTCTAAATTTATATTTTCAGTAGGTTTTAAGAATTTCTTTTCTTTTCTCTTTTTTTTTTCCGAAACAGATGAATTTTAAACATATTTTTTTCTTATTTGAATGTCAAACATTCGACCTAAAAACTACTGATGGTTATCATTTCTTTTTACATAAAAGTCAACACAGCTTAATATAGTAAGATGTGAGATGTTGTCTGGTTTACATATCAGAAGAATGTAAAACAGGATTCGAGAAAACCAGTTAAATGTTTAATTTTCCCTTTTTAGTTAATGTGTATCTCTGTACGAAAATTTTCAAAACAACTTTTAAAATCTAAAATTAAATTACATTAGGTGTTAATACTTTTTTAAAAATTAACAACATCGTTTCTAAGTAGCAGGTTTGCCTTATTTATTTATTTTTTTTTACATTGATATTAACCCTGTAGATTAGAACTGGTGCCATTCGAGGTTGAGGGCTACATTAGAAAAAGGCTTTAGAAAGAACCGGAAACCCAATCCGAAATAAACCTTTCAAAACGTTCAGAAGAACGGGGGAAGTGTGAACCGGGCCATAGGCGAACCTATCTAGTCCTATTGAGAAACGAAAAAGTAATTCAATAGTAAATACAAGTTCAGTGTTTTAGGCGGAGACGTTAGAAGTATAGAGTTAGAAATAGATTTTAGAAGGAACCGGAAACCCAATTCTAAACAGGAAGTAAGGGATAAACCTTTACTCTTGTTCAAAAGACTGAGAAGGAGTGTGAAGCGGATGATAGGCGAACTATCTAATTTTAGAGAGGAAAGAGGATAGCAGGAGGAATCAGAACTTACTGGAGCAGTAGACTAGTTGGTAAAACAGTCACACCCACAGAAGATGCGCGCACAGTCGTAATACTTCGAGTGTACGTGTCTCGTCTCTTAGATTTTTCGTCAGTTGTTTTGAAAATGAACAACAAAATTAACTTAGATTAAATATCCAACTGGTTTTCACAGATTTCATCTTACATAATTTGTTCGGATATTTTATATCAATTATTTTATCATATCAGTAGAATTGGGCAACGTAAAAGTTCTACATAAAGTTGCAAGAGGCAGTCACGTTAGTTACTAAGAGACTGGTGAATACCACAGAATATATTTTAACGCATCTTTTTTTATTTCAAAAGTAGGACTAAATTGTTGTTTGTACTTACGAGAGATAAACAAGTTACAAACCCCAACAACGTTTATAATTTATTTATGCAGCCAAAATGTTAATAGTGTTGTGGGCTTTTTACCAAATTCAGTCGAAAATCTAATTTGAAACTCATTTTTCCATTGCGACGAAAACATCATATGCCAGCTAAATATATGTAATGATTTAAACAAAATAATTACTTTTCTGTTTGTTCAGGGTTTTTAAAATTCATTTCTCTATTTCAGAAAAGACACAATCGGTAGAACAAATGAGTTGGTTATTTATTCGTATATATCTCTTTGTAACAATAAAATAGTTCAGAGCAATAAAATTGGAACTATGATCTCCTCAAGTATGGCCCTCTGCTAGAATCGTAAAAACACTAACTAGGATTCCCTTACGATGTCATTCATTGAATTGCTTTTTTTTAGTTGCTTTTTCAAAATAACAATGATATTTATGCAAACAGTTAAATCACCCAAGCAATTTCGAACATTTCATAAGAAGATGTGACAAAAGGAGGCGCAGGTAGGTTAACGGTCATTAACGTGGAAAGTGAATTCAGCGTGCTGAGTTCAATTTCCAGTCGATTCTGTTTTGTTTGCGTTTACTTTTCGGTGCAACACCGTAATCCAAACACGCATTGGACTAGCGAAAGATGCATTCCAAATTGTTGATGAACGGAAAAATTCCTTAGAAACAAAGAAAAGAGTGCTGGATTGCTATTTGATATGCACCCTCTTATATGGCACTGAATGTTGGATAATGTCCCCATGGATGGTGATAAAACTAGAGGCAACAGAAATGTGAATCTACAGAAGGATACTGAGAATTCCATGGACGGAGCGTGTAAACAACGTGAAAGTGTTAAAGAAAATGGAAGCAGAAAGCACACATAGAATCAGAAAGAGACAGCCGAAATTTCTTGAGCACATAACAAGAAAGAAGGGTTTGGAAAACTTAACCCTCACAGGGCATCTTGAGAGCAAGGGAGATAGGGGAAGCCAGCGATCCAACTACCTGACTAGCTTATGTGAATGAATGGCGGAACGGAGTGCGGGGCCCTTGGCAAAAATAGAAAACTGCTAAGGGCCACAAGGAACAGGAAGTTTTGGAGAGCTATGCTCGTCCATGTCCTGTACAGACGCGGTACATAGAAAAAAAGAAGGCTGCTGTACATGTGGTACTCCTACGAACTTCATGAGTTACGGGACTCGTCACGTTCTGACAAAAGAAACCCCAGAGAAATACTATCTCTACACGCTGTATATTGTTACAGAGAATATTTAATAAACTTTTCACGGTGTCCTAGACTGAAGGGTTATTTGCCCAGCGAGAGATCATAACAAATGCATCTAGATTAATTCGTCCATGAAGTAATATCAAAATAGTAATTCCAACATAAAACACATAATATCTTTTGTAATAAGTGCATCATACAAGCTCACTGACAGGAACACCAGAGGAAATGGTCTTTCATTAAACATAGCTAAGTAGAGTAAATACTTATAACAGAAACTGTGTCTCATGTAGATTTGGCTCAAATGGAACAGGAAAGGTTGCGAGGTCTGGAATTGCATCTGTAGAATAGTGAATGTCATAATGGAAATGGTATTTTGATAGAAAATTAATTTCATGTAATACACAACGAAATGAAGTCTTTTCACTGTTTCGAAGTTAAAGATTTCGTTTCAAGATAAAATAATGAACTTCAATTTGAACAAATCCATTCATTCATTTCCTTAATCCTTAAGTTCTAATCCCAAACTCTTGTAAAGATTATGTCAGATAAAGAATATTTATCTTTTTTCTTTGCATAATTCCAAAGGACAAGGGTGCTTGCGGTTACAACAGCGACATGCCACTAGAGGATCGATTTGTTTTTTATGGCTTTTACAGCTTATTTAAAGCCAGAAAATATTTTTAGATTCTAAGCATTTTTTGGACGCAGTAATGATTTTTACTGATACAAGTTCTACTAATTAATCCATAGCTGGGGGTAGAGAAGAAGTGGATTCATGCCTTTCCCAGCAGTATTTGCGCGTAAATGAATATAACGAACCCAACTGGAATTGGAACTTGGCTCTCCACTTTCCAATCCGTGCCATTATCCATTACACTACCCACACATCCAAATTTACACCACTTGGTATCCCCAAGCGGCCACGCATCTAGCACTGACCGATCTCAATGTTGCTTAACTTCGGTGATCGTACGGGAACCAATGTTTCAACATGATATGGCCGTAAGCCTTTTCACCAGAGAAGTTTGAAATGACAATCGGAAGGATAGATATACGATTTCCTCATCATTGATAAACTAATCGTATCACTATTGTAAACTTTAACATTTTTTCTAAGTGATTGTTATTTACGGTTTATCAACACTTTGTAGATTATTTAAAGCCGAGGCATATTTTGGATTGTAAGAAGAAGAATTTTTGTTTTTGCGTTAATAATCCTTTGAAAATGACAATGATTTTTTCCATATTCAAATCCTACTACTTAATCCAGAGTTAAGAGAGGGGAGATGAGTTCATGCCTTTCCCAAGGGTATTTGCGCGGAAGTTAATGTAACACGCCCGGCTGGAATTCGAACTCGGCTCTTCGATTTCTCATTCCGAATTGTTATCCATTACGCCACCCAAACATCATGTGACTGAATGTTCGAGTAACGGTTAATGGCTCGGTTATAGAAACCGGCGATCTGGGTTCAAATTCCGTCCGAGTTCGTTACATTTACTTTCGAACAAGTACCCTTGGGAAAGGTATGAATCCATTTCACCCCCTGCTATTGGTTAAATAGCAAGACAGAATGGGCTTTTTAACGTGGTTGGCAACCAGTCTAGGAGAAGGAGAGCTCAGTCTAGCCCTGACAAGGCACATACAATAGAGCCATTGAAAAGATCATAAAATTAACTGTGGTGCGAGCTTGTAGACTCTATGATCTCCACTGGAGATGAATAAAAGGAAAGGTTTTAGGGTTAGCATTTGTTGCATTTTGTAGTTAAAGCTTCGCTTAACATCAATTGGAAGCTAGAACAGCCTGATTCTTCGATAATTAATAGAAGATGTTCGAACCAAACAAGCAAGCAACTAATTCCAGACATGATCCTCCGTCTCGCCGCTGAAGCATCGAAGAGAAAAGAACATTAAAAACCATTAATTTACGTCCGACCTTGTAGCTGCTGCCGATATTCGCTAAATTATCGCAGTTAATGACGGTCCGAAATTAGTAAGAGAGACATTTAGAACATTTAGGCGTCTAATAAAGAGCGATTGAAAATACCCTTGAAATCAATCTGTTAGCACTTAAATAACAGGCAAAAAGATAGAAGCTTCTGCGCGGCTTCTTTCACTTGATATATTTTGTATACGGATTTGTAAATTGAGAGAAGCGAAAAAAGAGGAAGAGCTTTTTCCTTCTAATAGCAAATTAAGTATAATTACTAATCCTAGAATAACAACAGAATGTGTAAGATTGCACTTACGGATTTGGTTTAGTCTTTGTAACTGTAGGCTCGTAGTTGAGAGATCTTTAGATCTTGGCTAAGCTGTGATGGAATAGGGAAAATTACTAATCCCAAATACAAGATATTTTCTAATGATATATATAAAAAATACTGAAATATATATTTCTAGTTGGCCATTTATAAATATAACTGAAAAATGGTAAATTTCGTCATTATAAAATGTTGTTTTGATTAGTGTACAAAAGCGAGAAAAAAGATTAAAGATTTATGAAACGAGGGTCTGTAGAGATTTTTACAAGGATATTCACCCTGTACAAGGCCCGAGAGCTACTCGAGGTAGAGGAAAGCGAGAAGAAAGGATTAAGCATCAATTTCAAAAAGCACAAATTTCATGGATGTCAGCAAAAGGAACAGCCCAGCATGCAAATTACAAAATGGAGATGCCAAAGTCAAGCAAACCATGCACGATACACGCTTAGGCGATCATGTATCTTTCGATACATGACTGATGAAGCAGATTTCTTTCCCGCAGTAGGTTGTCATCCAAAGCGAAAGAACCCGGTTTGTTCTGCTATTTACATAGCTGGGGAGGGGGAGAAGAGAATTCATAACTTCCACATGGGTATCAACACGTAAGTGAATGTAATAGATTCGATTAGAATTCGAACTCGGATCTCCGATTCCTCAATCCGAGCCGCTATCCATTACTCCACCGTACCTCCCATAGCAAGTACAACAATTTAAATATGTGCGAGGTGTTTTAAAAGGGGGCGGAAATTGCAACACCGAAATTCGAAGGCGAATTGGGATAGCGAAAGATGCCTTTCAAAAGCTAAGCAAAGCATTAAGAAAGAATAAAAAAATGTTTGAAACAAAGAAAAGAGTACTGAACTCTTATTTGTCCTCATCTATGGCGGTGAATGTTGGACAATCTCCTCACAGATGAAGAAGAGACATAAAGCAACAGAAACGTACTTTTTCAGGATGCTGTGAATACCATGGAGCGAACATATGAGCAACGACAAAGTTTTAGAAAAAATTCAAACAAAAAGGACACCTCTACTTAACATCAAGAAGCGACAGTTGAAATTTCTATGGCACATATAATGAGGAAAGAGTGTTTGGAAAATTTGATACCCACAGTGTAGATTGGAAGTAAGAGGAAAACACATAACGCAGGTTCAATCAATGACACCCGTATCCGTACGATCACCGAAGCACAGCAATATCGAGCTTGTTCACCTAGATGAGTGATCACTTGGGAATCCCAGGTGCTGTTTGCTTCAATGTGATGGTGTTGTATTCTGATAATGGCTCGGAATTGGAAATCGGAGAATCGAGTTTCAATTCGAGTTGGGTTCGTTATATTCACTTACGCGCAAATAACTTTTGGGAAAGGTATGAATCCACCTCTTCTCTATGGGTTAATTAGTCAGATTTGTCTCACTAAACTATCATTATCTCAAAAAAAATCTTACAATCTAAAAATAATTTCTGGTTATTTAATCGGCAAATGGTTGATAAACCGTAGAAAATGTATCAATCAAAGACAGTTGAGTAAATAGATGGCGGAACAAGGTTTAAGGGAGGTAATAAAAAGAGAAAATTTATTAAGAACTACAAAACGACAGGGAAGTTGTGGACAGCTATGAAAAAGAATAAGTACAATTAACCAGATTCTACAAACAATTAGAAATAATCAAATGTAGAGACATTTCTAAGATTTCTTTGAAATGGGGCAAAAGACGGCGCGAAAAAGACGTATTTTTTTTTTATCAACCCTTTATATAATAAACTAAAGGCCGCAATAGCTGATGTTTCTTTTAATGACATTTGAAAAACCGTAATCAAAACAATAAAAAAAAAACAGTAAAATCTTAGCCATTAATATCGAAAGCAAAGACCGGCTTTGTCAGCCAGAAACATAGACTGAAAAAAGCATTTCTCTTTATTTTTATCATTTATGTTCGAATCGATTCCCAAATCGTAATGTCAAGTCGTATATTATGTCTCATATCTTTGAATTATTGTGATAGGCAAAGTAGAATTTAGCCACAATGCTAGCATTCGTTCGGTCAGAACAAGACTGTCTTAATCAAAATAGACTGGGACAACAACTCGTACATCACTGCTGGCTTCAAATAATATTCTCCATCGCAAACTGTCTGGTGAAATCACAGAAAATTTGGACATAATAAATGACAACTTGTCATATTTTTTTGTCATAAATATATAAACTTCTGTGCACAGTGACTATCTATAGTGTAACCACCAGACCATTTATAAAACAATGTTTTTTAATAAAATAAAGGTTTATTATCATGTAGATATGTTAATAGGTTTGATCCTTTTGATGGTGAGTCATGGAGATGTTAGATATATTCAGCTAATGTGGCACATGGCCAAATTGATGGAGCAACTAGAAAAGAACGAAATGTGAAACGTGCTTTTGTTTATTGTTATTTCATATGATAATGGTAGGATCTGCAACAGAGATTAGCTATCAAGCAGCGGCAGTCTCTCTCTTTCTCTCTAAATATATATATAGTGATTTTCCAAGCGTAGCTTTGATGTGGCACAAGGCCGAAAGTAGGGGTCACCCAGTGAGGATCGAACTCATTACTCAGTCGTAATTAATCTAGCGAGAAAAGCTTGTTAACCATTACACCGACTGGAGGTGCCCAACAAATAGTGAGCTTAGCGTGGATGTGGCACAAGGCCGAAAGAAAGGGGCACCCAGTGAGATTGAACTCACTACTCAGCCGTAATTGTTCTATGAACAAGCTTTAACCATTACACAACCTCGAGTGACATATATATATATATATATATATATATATATATATATATATATATATATATATATATATATATATATATATATATATATATATATATATATATATATATATATATATATATATATATATATATATATATATATATATATATATATATATATATATATATATATATATATATATATATATATATATATATATATATATATATATATATATATATATATATATATATATATATATATATATATATATATATATATATATATATATATATATATATATATCACTGAGGTTGGTGTAATGGTATATATATATATATATATATATATATATATATATATTGCCTCAAGTTGGGGATCAAAGCCCGATTGATTTGACATCAGTCGGAGATTATACCCTTTGAGCCATCAGTGCGGTCGAGAGAAAGCCGAATTTTTACATACCTATTCTTCGAATAAACACACCAATGACCGAGAGCGTCCAATTCATGGTAGAGCTTTGCTGTATTAGCAGTTGTAGTCATCATTTACAAATTCGCACTTTTCTCCCCAGTGTGCTCGACCAGAATAACATTTTCCGGGGGCGTATAATTGTGTATTTGGGAAGTAATCACTTTTTTATACAAGTTTCATTAGACTACCGTGTCAGTTATCTGTAATGAAACTTTTATATATTATATATATATATATATATATATATATATATATATATATGTACCAAGTATAGGATTGGTGTATACGGAATAAATTACTATAACCAAAATACTATTCTTAAAAAGAGTTCTCAATGCGGGGTAGTCCAAATACAATTTATTCGACAAACATGTTATAAAATCACTGCAAAAATAGCCACTTTATTTCAAGACTTGAGTAGTGTTGAAACAAAATGGCTATTTTTGTAGTGATTTTATAACATGCTTGTGTTATAAATTTCGAATAAATTATATATATATATATATATATATATATATATA